TGGCAAGAAGTCATAGTGACATCTATGAAAATAAAATTTACATAAGGACAAGCTAAATGAACATGGCAGAAAAAATGGTAATGACACATGTCACATTAAAATAGGCTTCTGGTAAGATATGAAGGGAACCACAACAGAATCAAAAGGAAAACATATATGTAGCGAGAAAGGAAACTAAGATGAAATTTCAGTTATACTACTTTTATTTTTTCTTTTTATTTTGTTGTTTAATCAGTGGTTTCACCCAATTTATTAAATTAGCATTATTCATTTTTTTGAATGGGTCGCCTGGATATACAGTGTGATACAATATTCAAAAGTATATAAAGTTAGAGGTAAGACAAACCCTTTAACTTCAATTACCAGTTTCATTTTTTTTCACTTAGAATTCATTTTATATTTCCTGAAAGAGCCCTTTTTTAATTTTTAAATTTTATTTTATGTATTTTTCATCATTTTCATTTTTGCACAATGTATGCATTTTCATCTTGGTTATATTCCCCATACAATTCCCACCCCCAATATTTTGACCATAATTCCTCCTCCCCTGCACCCCATAGTGTGTCTCTGGTTTATAGTTGCTTATTGATTTTGATTTTTACTTTATTATAATTAGTCTTTTTCCTGGTCCCTTACTTAGGTTTTCTAAATTCCTGCTATGACTGAGACCATCTGGTATTTTTCTTTTTCTTTCTGGCTTATTTCACTGAGCATGATCCATTCCAGCTCCATCCATGTTGCTGCAAACTGCATGTGTTTATCTTTTTTGATTGCTGAGTAATATTCCATTGTGTATATGTTCCACATCTTCTTGAGCCAGTCTTCTATTTTTGGGCATTTGGGTTGTTTCTATAGGTTAGCTATTGTAAATAGTGCTGCTATAAGCATAGGGGTGAAGGTGCCCTTTTAAATTAACATTAATTGAAAATTTAATTAAACATTTATTACAAAGAAAAATTACAATAATCAAAAGTAAATCAGATATAATCTTAAGTATAATTTAAGTTTTTTCCCAATGGTAAACAGGAAAAAAAGTAAGTAAAGTTCCTATAATAAATATATATATATATTTAAGTGACAGATACAATTTAAAGGGGTTTTCTGGATTCAGCATAATGTCATTCAAGATTTCTATACTTTTAAAAAGTCCACAATTTTGAATTTATTAATCATAAAATGCAAGACTTTTTAGGAAATTTTATTTAAAAAATTATATGACCATGCTGAAAAACATACATTTTTTCAGAAAAATGCCAGAGTGATAGTTTTTTCTTCATTAGGTATAGATCTGGATAAATTATTGATTAAATTATGAATAAGTACACCAAGAATGTTGTTTATGTGCTTAATACTTAATAAAGCAGTGAATTTACATTCTTTCAAATACATGAGTATCTTCAATTTCAACTTTTATAAGGCACATCATTTTTGAAAATAATTTTAAATGGAACCATTTTATAGTACCACCATTGATCAATAGCTATTTTAAAAATATGTAATGTAATCATTTTAGAGTTTCCTCTTACTTTAAAATCTATTCTAAGTTCAACAATAAATCATGTGCTGTCATTACCATTAACTGTCTGATAGCCAACTGATCATGGATGACCAGACATGTTTGATCAGACCTTACGTATCCTCCACTCAGGAATCTGCTGGACTCTGAACAGCCAGCTGAGCAGGCTAAAGATCAGTGCTTAGGTCCCAGAGGGCAGACCTCTCCCATGCCATTAAAAAAAAAACAACACTTAAAAATAATGACCTATTTTTGAGTACTAATTATCAATATATGCCTGAATCAATTATTACATGGTATTTGAAATTTAACAATTTTCTTATTCTGTCATGATTTTTACATTTGTTATCTTGCATTTTTCTGTATGTAAAATCTTGTTTCTTGTCTTCTTTTTATTATTACATATTACTAATAGATCCATGGATTCTTCCTTTATCTTATTCAACATGATTTATTTATTGTCATAATGAATAATTTGAAATTAGTACTGAGATTCAATATAATATACAGTGAATGCAGACATTAATGCACAGTTTGATATCCAAATATGAACACTGTGTGTAATATGGCCAGTCTAAAAATCTAGAAGTGTACCTTTGCCTCAGGAAACTCCTGCCTGTCCCCTCCCAGTCATGACTCTTCTTAGATGTAATCACAAATCTAACTGCTATCATCACAGATTACTTTCACATACCTTATATAAGTGATTGGTCATAGGTGCTTTTTAAAGTCTAGTTCTTTTTTTAACTAACTCTTTGAAATAGGTTCAGAATGTCTGTATTAATAATTTTATTATTTTAATTCTGAATACTTTGATTTATGAATTTAGCAAAATTTATCATTCTGTTATTGGTGACATTTGTGTGGTTTCTTATCTGGGATGATTCAGACTATCGCTACTATACATATTTGTTGTCCATGTCTGTTGGTATTTTATATACAAATGGAATTACTGAGTCAAATATTTTTGTTAATAATTATATCAGTTTTCGTGCCCACCAAAATTATGCCTGGTATTGCCAGTTATCTAGCAATCAATCTCTATACCTATTTACGCCATTCAACTTTCAAGCAATCATTTTGAATTATTTTATTTATTAGTTATTATCAGGGATAGGTGTTGAATTTTGTATAAAACTTGTTCTGCTTTTATGAAAATCATCCTAAAAGTATAGCTAATATTAATAAATTTCTTTTTTTTAAATTTTATTTTATATAATTCTTACATCATTTTTCATTTTTGCACAATGTATGCATTTTCATTTTGGTTATTCCCCATAAAATTGCATCCCCCCCTTATTTTGACCCTAATCCTTCCTCTCCCCATGCTCCCCACCCCCATAGTATGTCCCTGGTTTATAGTTGCTTGTTGATTTTGATTTTTACTTTGTATTAATTAGTCTTTTTCCTGGTCCCTTATTTAGGTTTTCTAAATTTCTGCTGTGAGTGAGACCAACCAGTATTTTTCTTTTTCTTTCTGACTCATTTCACTAAGCATGATCCCTTCTAGCTCTGTCCATGTTGCTGCAAACTGCATGTGTTTATCTTTTTTGATTGCTGAGTAATATTCCATTGTGTATATGAACCACATCTTCTTGATCCAGTCATCTATTTTGGGGCTTTTGAGTTGTTCCCATAGCTTAGCTATTGTAAATAGTGCTGTTATAAACATAGGGGTACAGGTGCCCTTTGGAATTAATGATTCTGTGTCATTTGGGTAAATACCTAGGAGTGGAATTGCTGGATCATATGGAAGCTCTGTTAAGTAGGTCCAGAAATCTCCACACAGCTCTCCATAGTGGTTGGACCAGTTTGCACTCCCACCAACAGTGCAGGAGAGTTCCTTTTTCTCCACATCCTCGCCAACATTTGTTGTTGCTAGTTTTTTTAATATGTGCCATTCTCACTGGTGTAAGATGGTATCTCATTGTAATTTTGATTTGCATTTCCCTGATCACAAGTGATGTTAAACATTTTTTCATATACCTGTTGGCCATTTGCATTTCCTCTTTGGATTAATTTTTTTTTTTAAGATTTATTTATTTATTTATACAAGCACTGGGTAGAGTCAGAAGCATGGGAGGATGAGAGAATTCACCAGCGCCAGAGGGGAGAGCAGAGCAGGCAGACTGATGAAGTACACTGCTGAGGGGAGCAGCCCCGCGGCCAGGTATCAAACTGGCACTGCAGAGGCTGTGGGGCAGCTTCTCAACCCAGCGCTCAACTGCTGTACCACCAGGGAGGCCCTGGATTAATAAATTTCTTAATACTGAGACATACTGGTTTTCTTGAAATAATTCACACTTGGTCAAATGTGTAATATTTTTGGAGTAACCAGTACTTTTAGATTTTTTTTCATCAATGGTCATAAGTGAGACATATATCATTTACAGAAACTGTCATTATCTGATTTCAATGTCAATATTATGCTTGTTCCATAAAAAGCACATGGATGCCCTGCACCTGTTGGAGAAAGGGACAAGTGCCCTCCATTCTCCCTCCAGGAAACCATTTGCCAAGTAACTGCCCCAGTGTGACCCACTAATAGTCTCCTGCTGTGCGCCACTTCTGATTCTACCTCAATTTGCTACCAGGACAATGACTGAGAAAGGGGGCAAGATAAGAGCCTAACTGTTTTCACTCAAATGGGAAGTCTCTAACAGATCATTTTCCTCCAGAGTTCCCTTTGATATTAGCAGGAGTTTTGTTTTTGTTTTTAAAGATTTATTTATTTATGCATACAAGAACTGGGGTACAGAACAGAGGGGTGGAGGGTGAGAGGATTCACCAGAGTGGGGAACAGAACAGGCAGATTGACTGAAATACACTGCTGAGGGCCACAGTGGGTGAGACAGGAGAGGTGTGCTGTACCATCTGGGTAGCTCCTTGGCCAGGGATCGAACTCGTGCTGTGGTGGCTGCAGATAGCTTCATAGGTTGTGTCTTAACCCCTTGCACCACCAGGGAGGCCCAGCAGGGTTTTTGTTTTTCAGTTTGCATCAAGAATGGTTTCGCCTCTTAATCATGTATTCTTCCCTTTTACTTTCAAATATATCATCTTCTAAAAAATCTGTGCACTCAGCTCATTATCTGTTTTTTTTTTTTTTTGATAAGAATATGATTTTTATTTGCATGACTACCAAGGGGGCAGCTCTTTTTATCTCATGAGTGCAGGAAGCCCCATTTGCCCTGGGGGCCGAGATTCAGGATATACTGGGATGAGCAGCTTTTCTGTTACCATGTCTTCCAACTCATCTGTGTTAAACTTGGTGAAGCACCCTTCGTGGAAATATGAACTTGACTTGGCTCTACATAGCACTTCAAACATGCTCTGTGTTCTGCAGCTTGATGGGATGGACATAATGATTTGGCCCATGTGGACCTTGACTAAGGTGCCAGGGAGCTTTCCAAAGGCACCCTACATCCCTGTCTGGAGTCTAACATTGGGAACAGTATGTAGTCAGACATCAAGGAACCCCCAAAAGGGGTGTCTCCAAGGTCCCTTAGAGCAACCTGTGCAAACAACAGGTCACATACATTACCGAGGAGGCTGTATTTGAAGCCATTGCACAAGGGGCCCATGAGGAGAAGTTATTATTTCCTTCTTTTTGAAAAAAAAAAACAAACTATGAGCCTCCCTGGTGGCGCAGAGGTTGAACGCTGGGCTGTGAAGCTGCCCACAGCCTCTGTAGCACCAGTTTGATCCCCGGCCACAGGCGAGGGTCCCACATGGCACACAGACCTCTCCTGGTGCCCGCTGCTCCCCTCAGCAGTGTATTTCGTCAGTCTGCCTGTTCTGCTTCCCGCTCTGGCTCTGGTGGTTTCTCTCATCCTCCCATGCTTCTGACTATACCCAGTGCTTGTATGAATAAATAAATAAGTCTTTTTTAAAAAAATCCAAACTATGATTCCTCTTTTTTATAATGCTGTGAAAAGAAATAAATAGTAATAAAATTACTTGAATTTTGAAAGTTCTGTATTGCCTTGTGTGCCATCAATGTGCAGTGTTTCTTTTATGGGTTAGTTATACAGTTTTTTTTTTTCTACTGATTATATAACAATTAGCTCACTTGACCTTTCTATAAATAATGAGACCAGTTTGTAGATATTGCATTTTCCTAGGAAATTATTCACTTTATCTGCATAGATAAAATAATTTTAAATATGCAGCAGTTTAGGGAGTCTAATGTTCACTTGCTCTTCCTGAAGAATTGATAGAGGATGAGATGATGGTGATCAGAGAAAAAGGCAAATAGTGAACATTAAATGTTTGTAAGAGTTAAGATAGTACCAATAAAAAGATAGGAAAATATACTTTTTAATGTTTTGAAAGGAGAGGAAGGGAGAAGAAAGAGGTTAGAAATAAGACTTTCAACTTAATCAGTTAATAGAAGACTTGAAAAGCAAAAGTCTTTTTTTGAGCAATTATAAAAGGCATTCATATATAAACTATTGTAAATTATAAGAAAAATACAGGTATGAAAATTTCCCATTCTTCTTTACTACTAAAAAATGATTTTTCCAAAATATTATTTTCTTCAGACAATTTCCTATCTCAAAATGCTACTATGGCTTATAATTTATTTGATTCAATAATTCAATCATACTTTAATTAACAAATATTTATTGAATTTATTGTCTGGCTCTAAAAACTAAGATAAAGGAAAATGAAACAGTCCATCTCATAAAGATAATGGCCATATTTGACAGAAAACTAGACAACATATTATTTCCCAAGCAAACTGAATCAAGTATATTCTAATTCCACCACCTAACATGTGCCATGTGAAATACACAGAGAAATAAGAAAAATGAATTTTCAATGTCACATCAAATGCTCAATGAATTTTAATAATTCCCCCATTTTTCCAAGTACTTAATGTAATCTTAGGTCACTTTTACTGCTTTACATTTTCTGCTTGAGTTAGAAAAAAATCCAACTGTAAAAATCTGCTATAGACTATAGAACATAATAATTATTTGCTAACTATAACTTTTTTCAGAGTTAATACTGTGCAACATTTTACATTCTGTAACAATTAGCAAATAGTTAACATTAAGAGTAGAAAACTGAAGATTCTAACTATTGCTTTAGAAATGTTCGAACAGCGGCACTGATATTTTTCTGTTTAGCAAAGTGCATAGCAGATTGTGTGTCCCATAATACATTGATTTTGCTGTGTGTGGGTGATTGCAGTTTCCATGAAGTCACAGAATCAGATTTCAGAGCTTTCCAACTAGTATTATCAATTTCAATAGTACATGATCAGCCAATCACAGATGGCTGACAATCACATAGGGTAAAACAGACCTCTTACTTTTTTTTCTCAAGAACTAATCTCTTTCAGGAAAGGCTAAAATAACCTTTCATCCCATTTTTTCTTTAATAGCGTTCTCTGCTTCTACTTTTAGATAGTACCAATGCTAACACCTTTCATTTATAAGCAAGTGATATTTACTTTCAGCTGCTTTCTTCGGATGGCTAGTATGTTTAGCTCATTCCAGGTATATGCCCCAGATTTATAGATTTGCAGCTACTCAATCAAAATAGAAAGCAATTTCCTTGAATATTATCATTAATCAAGTCACATTGAATAGCTTTCATTTGAACATTAAATAATTGATATGAGTAATGTGCAAGGCAAAGTGTTAGGTACTGGTAAAAATGTGGCTTTTGTCTTCAAGGAGCATGAAAGGAATGTAAAAGAAACCTCTCTCAGTCTGTTTCTGTCTCTGTCTTTCTCATACACACACACATCATCATCATCATCATCATTATCATCAGTATAATACTTTACAAATGATTTTAGCAAAAGAATCAAATAATTTATTTAAGGGCAATATGAATATAATAAAAGAAAATTAACTTAGAGAGAGACTTTTCTAGGTAGAATAACAAAAGAATGTGAGGAGGAGTTTGCACTTATGCTTGGCTGGAACCAACAATGTAGAAAAGTTATAGGAAATTGACAGCAATAAGAAGAAAATATAACAGATGGATTCATACAAATTTCTTTAGTGTATAGTGTAAGTCATAGAGAGATAAATAATTGTAAAATACCTCAGTGGAGATTAGTATGAGATTAGGCAAATTTTGCATTATTTTGTAAATCTTGCTCGAGTCATAAAAGAATTTAACCAGGAGCATAATGAGATAATTCCTAAGTATTAACATTACATATTTTGGTTATTAAATTAAAAATTAGACTGGTTGGAAGCAGATAAAGAAGACTGATAACTACTGCAGACTGAACCAGAGTTATAGCAACAGGAAAGGAAAGGCTGTGTGTACATTCTGTCAAATAGGCTAGATAGAGAGAGGAGACAGAGAGGAGACAGACAGAGGAGAAAGATTTCAAAACTAAGATGTCAGAGAGGAGAAATCTATGACAGACGCCTTGAGATATCTTTGAGTTCAGATCTCAGTTTCCATAATGTTTACTTGTCTGGGAGGGAAAGCAAAATACAAAAAAACTAAGTCCCATTGCAGGAATTTCTAATGGTACGTTTGCCAGTTTTAGTTCCAAAAGAGTATTTCAATGACCCTTCCCCGGCTCTTCTGACCTTCAGCTAGCCACAAATAAGGGCTTGTAAGAGTGTTTCTCAAGGACTGAGTTTGTAGGAAAGATGAAAGTGCCAACTCAAACCAGGCAAGGAAATGACAACACCAAAGCCATGGAAAGGGTGGCCGAAGCAATGACTCTGAGACTCGTGTGCCATTTGTCACTTGATTACCAACTTTACTATCAAATACTAAGAAATTTAAAGAAGGCTAACATAAGCATTTTGGTCTCAGAAATATTTTGAAAGCAAGGAAAATGGTTTTGCTCCCCTTATCATATTCATTTTAAACTAGTCTATTTTCTTTCTCAATCCTGCTCCTTTGCTTTATTCAATATCTCCAATACGCAACCTTCCTTCTTCCCTTTTGTAATTCCACTGTTACAGCTGAAAAGCATATTTTTTTTCTGAAGGTACTCAGTAGTATATTGGTTTTAGCAGGAACTTCCTTTTCAAGTTTTTCAAATTTGTGATTTGGTGTATTTATGGACAGAAGCAAGTAAATATGAGCATAGCCCTGCAGTTAAAGAGCATATTGTGCTCAATTTTATTTGTTTTTATTGAACTAGCATTGCATTATAATATCATGTAAGTTTCAACCCAAATGCCCAAAAATAGATGACTGGATCAAGAAGATGTGATAGATAAAATGTATTACACAGGAGAAAAGAAACATCCATAAATATTACTATATCCATATATAAAGTAACGTACATATATATGGATATAGTAACATATGGTTCTATATTAATGCATTCAATAAAAATGAGAGGTGAGTAGATTAATTTTGAAGTAACAATCAACATCAAAATATAAGGTATATATTACAGTAATATGATAGGAAAATAACTGATTTCTAATATTGACAAAGACACAGGAACTGCTAGCAAAGCTAATGTTTTCTTCTGTATTCAACACTGAAGGAAATTATGTATTTCATTCAGAAGCTAATAGGAGAAAAGGGTATAATTTTTCCCATCCTAGTTCACTGATATCCTTGATTTTTTTCCTAGCACAGTCCAAGTTAAGATGTTCTTCAAGTCTGATTAAATTATAACTAGAAGACTCAGATAAGAATTTTAACTGAAAAACACTAACCAGAAGGTTGTTTCCTAGGATAGGCAATTAAAGAATTAGAGTTTCTGAAAAGAAAAGAAAGTATTATTTTGAAATTAAAAAATATACACTCATCTTTATTCAAAGACAGAATGTTCCATGAATATAAAAGTCCTAGACTATTGAGTAAAACAACACACATACACACACACACACGCACACACACACACAGAAGGAGAGAAATTTACTTCATGAGGAAAAATTCTAGAAATGTGGGGAAAGATCCATAATACTTAACATGCCAATGAATGATGTTTAAGGTGAAAATAATGAGCACATGGAGAAAGAAAAGAATAAGCAGCAAGGGATGTTTTTTCCTATTCTAAGGAAATACTGGTTCTGTAGACTGAGAGGGTACAGCAAGTCTGCGTGTGAAATAAGGCAAACAGTGACATACAACTAGAAACATCCTGGTCAAACTCCAACTACCAAGGTTTATAGAAAGAAGAAAAGTGTACAGTCACCAAATACACAGAATAAGTTACATCAGCAATGGAACTAATGTCAAGCTTCTTATCTGTCCTCATTAAAATATGCAAGGAAATGCAGTTGAATCTACTGACAATTTTCTGTGAAAGAATGTGACTCAAGAACTTACAACTAGTCAAGCTATTCTCTGTTTATGACAAGAGGAAAACATCAATGGCTATATTAGAATTCAACAGATCTATCATACATATGTCCTCTAGAAAAATAAATTCCAACTCATTGACACAGTTAATGCAAATATGCCTCGAGTCTGATAATACTGATACTAGTGGTAACTCGCATATACAGAACACCATGAAATATTCCCTGTGCTAGGGGCTTTTCACGCCTCATCTTAGTTAATCCGAAAAATCATTTTTGCAAGTAGGTGTTACTATTGTCCTCTTTTTAATAATCAGCAGAACAGGACTTCATTCATCAAATAAAGTAATTAAACTATAGTTAGGAA